AAAAGCGTGAGAATTGCTTAAAGAAAGAAAGAATGTCATTTTGAAATCAAAGTAAAAAAAAAAGAACTCCGTTGAAGTAGCAAAGTCCATACTGGGTGAAAATGTGCATATATATATATATATATATATATATATATATATATATATATATATATATATATGTGTGTGTGTGTGTGTGTGTGTGTGTGTGTGTGTGTGTGTGTGTGTGTTTTTCAATAAAGGGGCAATTAATTTACAAATTCATGAATTATTCATACAAAAAACAGATACAAAGGTTAATGATTTAATTGGCGAGAAATTGCACCTTTATTGAAATTAAAATAACTGATCCAAGTGCAACTTTCGGATAGTAAGTGCGACATTACTGTAATTATTGAACAATATAGTTCATGCCACTTTGACGGAAAATTTACCATTAAAAAAGAATTCTCTTATCACTATATTTGTACAAGAACGCACAACCTTAAAACTCAAATTCAAACTCAGCGTTGAGACTGCACGCTCCAAAACAATAACACATTTCTCATAGCATTTTTCGGATTACAATACATCTATTTTCGTTGTCCTCTTATTACTGAGAGTAAAAACAAGAACAAAATCTATTCCTTACCTGAGGATGTCAGTAAGAACAGACGAAAGCTTGTAAAAATAAGAAGAACTTATGCAATTGAAATTTATAAAACAAGGATCTTTTCATGCATAAACAGGTTCGGGGTTTTTGGATATTATTTGAATTGTTCGCGATGATGGATTTCTCACCAATTAAATCATTAACCTTTGTATATGTTTTTTTTGCATGAATAATTCATGAATATATATATATATATATATATATATATATATATATATGAAGAAATGTATTCTCAAAGGGTGATATATTTATGGGATAAAGTACTCAATATCACAGATAGAGCCTGTCTAAATATAAAAGTTATCATTGAAGTCAACACTCAGAGGCGACAGTCTGTTTCATGCTAGGCGCAATCATCAGGCCACCGATTGCATCTAGCCTCAAACAGACTGTCGCCTCTAAATGTTGACTCCAATGTTCACTTTATATATATTATATATATATATATATATATATATATATATATATATATATATAAACACATTAATATCAACTATGAACATGGAAAAAACATTATATAAATATGCAACTATTTCTTATTTAACAGTTAAAATATTATATCCTTAAAAATGGATAAATGTATAGCCGAAAGCGCTCGGAAAAAAGGAACATTCGGACAGTTTTTATATAATTTATCATCTGAAAAGAAAAAAAAAACTTATTAGAACGCATGAGAAATTTTATAAAAAACTAAATCAGAGGACCTTGTCTATCACAATCAATTAAATGTGCATGAAAGAAGGATTGCTGCCAAAATACACACACACACACACACATATATATATATATATATATATATATATATATATATATATATATATATATATATATATACTGGGATTACCTCCAGATCGTTAAAAAGAAAGAATAGACGAACATCGGCGCTTTTGACTAAGGTAATTAAAAGTGAAAGCGACTGGGCGTTATATACGTCATGTGTCTCCTGGAATACCGACAACAAAAAATGGAGGATTTTGATGTGCGTACACCAAAATAAAATAAAAAGAAACAAGAACGTACTTATGTACAAACAAATTATGTACTAACAAGAAAGGTATATAAGTGACACAGACAATTATGTATCAAACACAAGAATGTGAAAACCTTCTGGGCTCAATGCATGTGAAGTGAGTGAATGTGCGCATGTACGTTATGGGGTTAACTTCACTTACTTTCCTGAGAACCGATACTAGGGTACACCGTCCAGCACTATAAATACTATGCGATAATTATTCGCCGCCTCTTCTTACTTTTTCCGCTTACACGTCAACATGTAAGTCTCACGCGGGAAAACGCGTTTCCTTTCAGAAAAACATGAACAAACCACACACGCGTGTTGTTATAGTGCCGATGAGCGTCTCCTGGTAGCGGTTTCAGGAATGTAAATGTAGTTAACCCTACAAAGTACAAAAGTCAGCGGTTGATTTGACACTGTATTTATATTATGAAAAGACAAAAAAACCTTCTGAGAAAGGTCTTGAGTCGTGAAACGTCTAAATAATGTTTATCTACAAAAATTATCCTTACCAATTTTTACCTTGATTATTAAATGAGGACCAATTAATTTAAGTACGGCCAAAAAAAAAAAATTAAAATATTTCGGAAATAAATATTTATGTTCATCCATTCTGTCTTTAAATTGTGATCCCCCTGCCCTGCAGGCATTATTGCTCCCCTCCACCAGTTGCCCACTACATTCCCTGACTCCTGTTGCTGAACAGGAAGACAAAGAACGGGGATTTGCAAGAAAAAAATTGAATGACAAAATTCCGTTTATAATTTGAGAAAACAACGCAAAAATATTAACCAGTTTAAGACGGGAACAGATAAATTTAGAGAATGACGTATCTAACGAGACTTTGTAAGTGATTGTCAGAACTGTGATTGTCAGAACTGCAAGAGATTGTCAGAACTGTGATTGTCAGAACTGTGATTGTTAGAACTGTGACTGTCAGAACTGTGATTGTTAGAACTGTAAGTGATTGTCAGAAGTGTAAGTGATTGTCAGAACTGTGATTATCAGAACTGTAAGTGATTGTCAGAACTCTGATTGTCGGAACAGTAAGGGATTGTCAGAACTGTGATTGTCAGAACCGTAAGTGATTGTCAGAACTGTAATTTTCAGAACCGTGAGTGATTGTCAGAACTTTGATTGTCATAACTGTAAGTGATTGTCAGAACTGTGATTTGTCTGAACGGTGATTTTCAGAACTGTAAGTGATTGTCAGAACTGTGATTGTCAGAACTGTAAGTGATTGTCAGAACTCTGATTGTCGGAACAGTAAGGGGTTGTCAGAACTCTGATTGTCAGAACCGTAAGTGATTGTCAGAACTGTAATTTTCAGAACCGTAAGTGATTGTCAGAACTGTGATTTGTCCGAACGGTGATTGTCAGAATTGTAAGTGATTGTCAGAACTGTGATTGTCAGAATTGTAAGTGATTGTCAGAAGTGTAAGTGATTGTTAGAACTGTAATTCTCAGAACTGTTTAAACTATTTACATTGTTGGGAGTGTTGACCTCATCTTTATTTCCATATTAACAATAGTACGGTCTTTCTACGCTCCGGCCTTCTTCAGTTGATGGGAATTTCCAAGAGAACACTTCATTTCGCCCACTGGGGTAGATTGTTCTAGTTCCACGTACCATGCCTCTTCCAGATGTCTGAGTTATTTCTCTTTAACTCAACTTCCCATTTTTTTATTCACCACTGCAGTACCCATATACTGAACTTACAAATCTTTGTGTCAAGTTACTGGGTCCACAAAACGCTTTTTTCCACTGGCCTATGATTGGTGTCAAATCACCTGAAATCAATAATCGATAAAACTGATCAAAAATCAATGAGTTCAACTTTTTCCTCCGATTTCATTCAAACTCGGTATCTAGGTTACTTACATCATGACGAGTTCAATGATACCTCCCTTTATTTCTACGCCGCTGCGTTTCGCGAAAAATCCGCGAAAAACGGAAAATCGATTTCAACACAAATTTTAAACTAAAAACTCCCTCAATTTTCAAGTAATCTAATACAAAATTCACTAAATTGTAGCCAACAATAAGTTGATTGTTTGACAGTCATTTAACTTGATAATTGAGTCCACCCATATATTAAAAACCTGCGAAAATAGCGAAAAATGGCGATTTTTACTAGTTTCTTTCTTATTTTTCATTGATCTTTCAACCAATTTTCATCAGACTTAACAATTGCTTTATAAATGTATCCTCTTTTACATCCGTGGTAGCATATTGACAAAATGAATTTCAAAAACTCCAAAATAATTGTGGTCTGAAGTGGGTCTTCATGTTGCCCTTCATTTTATCCCTTCATGTCCTAGGCTAATTTCGATTGAATAAATACCGACTATTTATGTTATATCAGTAACTGTATTAATTCAAAATGTTTTTTAATGAAATTACTTTAAAATAATTGAAGAAGATAGACTCTGTTACATCTAAATATGATTCCTTTTTAACTGAAAGCTTTTTCTTGTCGACAAGTTGGGTATGACTGCTAGTATGACATAATTTTGATCACATTAACTATATTAAAATGTTTTTTTAATGAAATTACTTTAAAATAATTGAAGAAGATAGACTCTGTTACATCTAAATATGATTCCTTTTTAACTGAACGCTTTTTCTTGTCGACAAGTTGGGTATGACTGCTAGTATGACATAATTTTGATCACACAGTAACTATATTAATTCAAAATGTTTTTTAATGAAAGTACTTTAAAATAATTGAAGAAGATAGACTCTGTTACATCTAAATATGATTCCTTTTTAACTGAACGACAAGATATGACTCTAGTTGACATGAATTTTGATCTAAAGTAACTATATTAATTCAAAATGTTTTTTTAATGAAAGTACTTAAAATAATTGAAGAAGATAGACTTTTTCTCTAAATATGATTCCTTTTAACTGAAACAAATTGGGTATGACTGCTAGTATGACATAATTTTGAGCAACATTATTTTAATGTTCCGCTATCACCCCAAAATGCACTAATCTGCTATGTGAATCAAAAGAAAATATCTACAATGAGGATCTTTTTTTTCTTTTCTATGTGCTATGTCTCTACAGTCCGTTGATCATGACTCTCCACAATTTCTTATTCTGTGTAGCTCTGAGCAACATTTGTCTATTTTATCTTCCCTGATGTATTTATATTAACGGCGAAGAAAGAAAGCGAAAAAGTCTTTCTGATCAAACACTGCCCCATTCCTCGCAAACACACTTTCTGCGGTCAAGAGGTGAATCGACCGTGCTATCAGAATGGATTGGTAAAGCCCGTAACTTCTACAAAAGCCCGCAGCATCTGCCTCTCGGACTGACCCCACAGATGAGCTTAAGGGATTCATTGCATGACATATGAAGCTGACCTTTTGTATGTACATACAAGTGCCGCTCTGGGTGACGCCTCTCGGCCGGTAGTGGAGCAATGTTTGGCCCCAGGGTATTAGAGGCATAGGCCAGCAGCGGATCTGGTGTGTGAAGACTCGGTTGAAAGAAGGGGAAATGGAATGGGAATCCTTGTGCAAGCGTGTTAGATATGAGCTTCTGTCTGCATTCGTACTGGAACAAAAACTGATGTAAATAGCCTTGGTCTTAACAAAGAAAGATTTCTTCATTACAAATATCACAACACGTACATACACGCGCACAGGCGTACGTATGAACAGAGCGCGATGCGTAAACTGTCGCCATTTTTTATTTTTAACTTCGCGCATGCGCTTTGTTTATTTTTGAATTTGCCGACTGGACAGTAGAGTAGGTTCATTTGGGCACCATCTGTGAGAAAATGTTAATATTAGCCGTTTCCCTATAAGGAAACATTTTGCTTTCATTGACAGACAAGCCTGTACTGTATTCGCTTGAAATTTATAAAATCTTTCTCTTTCACTATTTTAGGAAAACAAGTTTCTCAGGTCAAGTAGCTTTTATCGCTGTTTCCAGCATTGATGGGATTTTCCTTCCAACCTTCTATTTGAAGTGGAGTGGAATGTTAATATGGAACCCCCAAAGAAGATTGAAATCACCATTATTGTACACAGCCGCATTTGTATATTTAAGGAGTAAATAGGTTCGCCTGTCGTCCGGTTCTGATTCCTCCCCGATCATTAGGTACAGGAGTAGAGGTTTAGGATTAGGTTACCGATCCCTTCTAAGGTCTTTTCTTTATCTTTCATTTACAATAGCTCCTGGCGGCTTAGTGGCGTTATCGCCTTTCTTGGGGTGAACTGATTAAAAAAAATTACTCGCATCTGAAAAAATCTTGTAATAATAGTAACGATTTTTAAGATATAGCCAGAATAGTACACACACAAATACAAAAACACACACACACACACATATATATATATATATATATATATATATATATATATATATATATATATATTATATTTTTTTGTTTAAAAATATGATTCCTTCGCTACATAAGAGTTCTCATGTTTCAAAAACGAGAGCCAAAATATCAAATAATTATTAAAATTAAGTTGAATTGTGGTGTTTAGTCCCGTTTCATCTTCAAGCGAAATTTTAGGAATAAGCTATCTTTCGATTTAAAATTGTTTTTAGGCATGCTCCGTTACAGAATTCGTTATTGTGGGAGTGGCTAGACTATTTTCCTTCGTTAAGTGGTCAGAGAGTTAATTCTTATCAATAGATTCATCATCTTCTAAGAGGTTTTGGTAAGGTTGAGTAGGGTATCTATTTCAAGGCTAATGTCTGCGGTCACCCTTTAGTTGGTTCCCAGTGAGGGATATTTTTATGGCGCGCCTACAAGTCGTTATGTGTCTGGGGAATTGTCTTTTATTATTGTCCATCTGATTATCTATTTATTTATTTGTTTATTCAAGTGGGTGTTTTATATACAGATCGCATTGCACTGAATTTCAATTTGTTTTTTTTTTTTGTTTTTTGACGAATACAAAAAGGGTTTTTCCTATTTAATGATTTGGCTTTGCTTTTAAGAATTTTACTTAGCTATGGGATTTTTTTTTTATATGCTAATTATTTAATGCGAAAGTTTGTTGATGTCTGCAAAAAACCGTTAACTCCTGCCTATGGTTTAATAATTATTCATTATTTAGAAATTTAATGATGTGTAGTTTTTCCTGTAAGCATAAAGGGCATGGGTCATCCCAGGTTTTACAGGTTCTTGTTTTATTTATTATTTTCCATTTTACTTTTGGTGTTTTATTCGTTTCTTTTAGATGCCAGAAATATTGGGATAGAGATGTTTGATTTCTATTTTGAATATTGTTGAAGGAGCTCTTGTGTTGCCTCCATCTAATTTTAAATTTATTCTTCGCTGACCATATGAATATCCTATCAGTGTTAGGACTCTCAGTGGATGAGATAGTGCACTGGTATACCACGGATTTTGTGAGGCATTTATTTTCCAACGGGCAGTTTTTAGGGTTTCTACAATCACATAATTTTTCGTTATTGTTATCCAATTTTTTAGTTTATGTTTTTTTATTACTGGTTTGGTTTGCATGTTTTCTAGGATTTTCTTATTATGTCTTTTATGATTCTTTCTATATTTTTCAGTGCAGCTGTAACTCAATTTCAAGGTGTTTTTTGTTAAAGATGTCGCTAAGTTTGCTATTAGTGGGAAAGTGCTTTTCAATTAAAGCTAGGAACTTATGGCCTAGTTTGGTGCTGACCATTTGGTTGTACGAGGGTGTATACCAGATGATCTTTCTTTTTCCTGTTTTTCTTATTATTGGTACTATCGCATCTGTAGGTTATATCAGCGTTTTTGTATCCGCTATTTTTCAGGGCTGTGTTGTAAAAACTACTGTGTTGTTGGAATATTTCCTTATTTGCTGAGTTCATACTTATTCTTTTCTCTATTGATGCGGGTATATGCTTAATTATAAATGGAGGGTGGTTTGACTTAGGATGTACATACAGGGGATTAGTATTTTTTTTTGTAAGGTAGGTGAACGTTGTTCGTTAAGTCTAGGGTTACGTCTAAGAAGTTTACTCTTTTTAATTTAGTGTTGACTATTGTTTTTAAATTTAGTTTCCTGAATTCATTGTAAATTATCTTTCTAATTTTCTCTGTTTTAAAGTTTGTGGAGCTCCTCACTACCATGAGCCCGTCATCTCTGTATAGCCCGATGTCCCCAACGTCTAGTTCACGGTGGGTGGTTAGATTGTACAGCATAAATAGACCTACAAGGTCCGAAGATTCAGCAGAATCTAGAGATCCCTTGGTGATGTCAAAGTTGTCATTGGTGCTTATATATATATATATATATATATATATATATATATATATATATATATATAATTCATGAATCATTCATACAAAAAACAAATATAGAGGTTAATGATTTAAATGGCAAGAATACATCATCGCAAACAATATAAATAAGATAGACCAACCCCGAACCTGTATATGAATGATATGATCACTGTTTATAAATTCCAGTTTCATAAGGTCTTTTTAATTTTTTACAAGCTTTCGTCTGTTCCTACAGACATCATCAGGTATGGAAATAGAGTTGCTCTTGTTTTTTACTTCCCGGTAATAAGAGGACAACGAAAATATAGATGTAATCCGGAAAAATGCTATGAGAAATGTGTTATTGTTTTGGAACATGCGGTCGCAACGCTGAGTTTGAATTTAAATTTTAAGATTGTGCGTTTTTGTACAAATATAGCAATAAGAGAATTCTTTTTTTACTGGTAGATTTTCCGTCAATATGGCATGAACTATATTGTTCAATAATTACAGTAATGTCACACTTATTATCCGAAAGTTGCACGTTGGATCAGTTATTTTAATTTCAATTAAAAGCTGCAATTATAATTATATTCATGAATTTATAAATTATAATTGCACCTTTTAATTGAAATATATATATATATATATATATATATATATATATATATATATATATATATATATATATATATACTAAAGTTTGGGTCCACAATGATTTTTTCTGCTGATTGTTGGTCCGGATCCAGTCCAGAACGTTTTAAAATTGCCCACGGAGTCGGCGTGATTCCAGAATCGTATGATATGTCGGGTTACAGCCTCTAGAATAAAGTTGAAAAAGTATGACACAGTGACACACTGACATTCGGATTTATTATATAGAACAATAAAAGTTACATTATTTTTTATTTTATTTCCTGTCATATAAAATGCAATCCAACCCACCCCCATCCCACCATACAATCATTCAAAAATTAACTTGCTACATATCCTGATGGCTGAGCTGCAGACAAATTAGACTAAAATCTAAACCAGTGATTTTTAACGTGATCCCTTCGGCTTAAAAGTGGGCCTGTGAAATATTTTGAATAGGCCTGGAGACACTAGGGGTCAGTGTAGTCATTAGTCAGGGTTTATATTTTCTGCTATATTTTACTCATGTAAATAAAACGTATTTCCTGCTACATGAAATTTCTATTTGTGCTTATGTGGGCCTGAAATTATTTTGACACCAAAAACGGGTCACAAGGAAGAAAAGGTTGAGAAACACATGGCTCGGGAGCCACTCAAGGTAGAGTGTTAAAAATAAGTCGCTGAAAACAATCGCTGTAATGAACACTTGGGAATTTAAAGTTTCTGGATTGTGGGTCCAGATCTGGTCTGTAAGGTTTTAAATTTGCTCACATGATTGGCATGATTACAGAATCATGAGATATGTTGGGCTACAGCTTCTAGGAGTAGAGTTGAAAAAGTGCGACACAGTGACACACTGACATTCGGAATTATTATATAGAACAATGAAAGTTACAATATTTTTTACTTTATTTTCTGCCATATAAAATGTAATCCAAAACCAAACAGTTATTCAAAAATTAACTTGCTACATATCTTGATGGCTGGGCTGCAGACAAATTAGACTAACACCTAAACCAGTGATTTTCAATGTGATCCCTTAGGCCTAAAAGTGGGCCTGAGAAATATTTTGAATAGGCCTGTAGACACCAGGATCAGTGCAGTCATTAGTCAGGGTTTATATTTTCTACTACATTTTGCTTTTGTAAACAAAACGTATTTCCCACTACATGTGGATATGAAATTCTTTTCATACCAAAAACGAGTCACAAGGAAGAAAAGGTTGAGAAACAGTCATCTGACTTTTGAAATTAATGGTATTGTAACGGTAATATCAGCTGTTTCCTTACAAGGAAACTGCTGTAACATAGGGAAGGTTACTGAATAGAATAATCAAACAAAGGTTGGTAATGAACGATAATACTTAGGACAAGAACAACACATATAAGATTCGCCAGCGGCACGTAGAAGTAGTCAACTGCTAGAAGTGAGTCAAGTGAATTCCACAATGAATCTCCAAAAGTAGGATATCTATCAAACGCAAACGCGGTCAGATGTGGAACAAAGCCGAAATTAATACGGTGTATCCGAGCTCATAGGCTCGGCCAAATATTCCTCGCAGACCCCGTATAAAACGAGGTCGGGTACCTGTTTTCTGAGACGAGGCTATGTTGCCTCGTCTGGGGATCCTCTCTGCCCGGAGGCAGAGGGTTTGACCAGCACAGCTAGAGACAAATCTCCAACGGCAGTATGTATACCAAACGCCCCAGTTTTATTTTTTAGGTTTTGTCGCCATTTGCTTATTTTACAGTTATTTTCACTTCCTTCTTTTTCTTACTATCTCTTTTTTTCTCTTATTTCCTCTTTCTTTTTGTCTCTTATTCCCTCTTTCTTTTTGTCTCTTATTTCCTCTTTCTTTTTGTCTCTTTCTCCTTACGTATTTCTTTTCCTCTTATTTCCTCTTTCTTTTTGTCTCTTATTTGATTTTTCTTCTTTTTCTTACTTTCTTTTTCTCTTATATTCTCTTTCCTTTTCATTTATTTACTCTTTCTTTTCGTCTCTTATTTGATTTTTCTTCTTTTTCTTACTTCCTCTTTCACTTTGTCTCTTACTTTCTCTTTTTTCTCTCATGTCTTCTTTCTTTTTCTTTCATTTTCTCTTTCTTTTCGTTTCATATTCTCTTTCTCCATTTTCTTACTTTCTCTTTCACCATTGTCTCTTAGTTCCTCTTTCCTTTTCTTTGTTTTTCTTTTTCTTCTTTTTCTCACTTTCTATTTCACTTTAGTTCTTCTTTTTTATCTGACGTCTTCTTTCCTCTTTCTTTTTATCTGTTCTTTCATCTTTCTTCTTTTTCTTACTTTCTTTTTCTCTTTTTTCTCTCACGTCCTCTTTCATTTTCTCTTATTTTCTCTTTCTTCTTTTTTCTACTTGATCTTTCTTTTTTTTTTCTCTTACTTCCTCTCTCTTTTTTTCTCATACGCCTTCTTTTTTTTTTCTTATTTCTTCTTTCTTGTTTTTCTCTCATTCGGCCTTTTTCTCTTTTTCTTCTTCTTTTTTGCCTTATCGTTCTTCTTTTCCTATATTTTCATCATTCGTTTTTTTTTCTTTAACAACATCTTTCTTTTTTCATCTTTTATTTCTTCTTCCTTCTTTTTTTTTCCTACTTTCTTTCACTTTTTCGATATATTTACGTTTTTCTTCTTACCTTTATCCTTAGTGGCATTCCATCATCTGTTTCTGCCTGGCTCATGGTTTTGTTATTAGATCCGCCTTCAGTGAATTGTGTCCGCTTCTGTAAACGAAAATACATGTAAAACAAATCAAAACATATTGTGACATGCGCAAAGATTTGAAACTATCAAAACCAGAGCGTGTCGTTCAGGACAAGGAAAGTCAACTAAAGGCGGTAAATCTGCAGGTTAGGCGAGAAAGAAAAAATACGCAAAAAGAACAATAGTTTTATCTGAAAAGAAAAGTAAAAAAAAAACATGAAGTGTAGATAAATGAAAGTGAAAGTGAAAGTAAAAGTGAAAATAATATTAAAACAGAAAATGAAAGTAAAATTATAATTGAATATGAAAGTAGAAAATATAAATGAAACTATACAATGAGTATAAATTTACAAACTGAAAGCGAAAGTAGAAAGCATTATTGATATTATAAAATTAAGAAACTGACAAACAACAATAAATGTTCATAATTTTATAATATGACACTGCGTATTTGAACCGAAACTGGTAGATCTAACGAACTGTCAAGCTTAGGTGTTATAAGAAGCACACACACATACATACATACATACATACATACATACATATATATATATATATATATATATATATATATATATATATATATATATATATAAATTTATTTGTTTCGATGGTATTCATTAAATGGTTACTCATATATTAGTAGACAATCTGTTTTTTATTTATTTATTAAACAGTATATTCAATTATTTTCATCCACCGTTCAAACTTGGTCTAAGGTATGTCATAAACATACAATAAAATTCACAGAGAGAGATATATAAGCACACAGAGATATACATAAACACACTAACGCATAGACATATATATATATAATATATTATGAAATGTACTTAGACCGACAAATATTTTAATATATTTTTTTCTTCATATGTTATTTTTATTATTACGTTATTTTTATAGATAGATACAAATAAATGCTTCGTTTATAACAAACAGTATTAACAACATTTACCGGCATGAATGTCCAAGAAATGTTATAGTAAATATGCGTTCTCCGTCAGGAATTGAACCTGTATCCTACACAAAATCCTCATATAGCCTGACGTGCTACACCATTTAGCTACAGAGGAAGCGTCTGGTTAGTATGGCAAATATATAAAAACATATTCGAGATAAGTGAACACGCGAGATCAAAGCGAATGTATGTTTTGGGTCTGATTTGCTGCAGCAGTAGCCGAAAAGGTGGTCATTGTTGACAGCCAACTGCCTCTGGGATTACACGCGGGATTTCCACTTTGGATTTATTTCCACCATCTTATGAATGTTTTGAGATGACTGCATGGCAGTCGAGCTTTGCATTCAGAGTCTTCCTCGATTTATTACCTTCTAAAAATGAAACAAGACTGCCATTCTATTTGACCCATTAACTGATACACTGTTTTTCAAATGCATTGTTAGGAAATGAAGGAAACATAATGCCCTCTTGGTAAGGGCTAGAATACATCGGCTTCATTTACTGTAAAGCATTAAGTCTCGCGACACTAACAAAAACGGGTAAATTTCTGTGTGGAGACACATGTATAAACAGGACCAAATTGTATTTTTGGGGGAGGGGAGTCTAAATTATCTATCGACTCTAAATTTGCTCATTATCTATCTATAATATTGTAGCCATTATATATTTATCTATCACAGTCCGTTCCTTATCTATCTATCTATCTATCTATCTATCTCAATCTGATTATGTTCTATATCTATCTATCTGTCTATCTATCTCAGTATGTTCATATATATATATATATATTATAAATTTTTACATACAGACAAAAACAATTTACTCACTACAAGGTTGCATTTTTGTTTCGATGCGCAGGCATCTCGACTGGTGAGAACCAAATGTGTTTATGAAGAATAGAATTGTTTGTAACCACTTTTGGTTATCCCTAGTCGGGATGCCTTTGTAGTGAATAAATTGTTTTTGTCTCTATGTAAAAATTTATAATAATTGTTTGTCTACTCTCGGTATTCAGCCCTCTTTTGAATTAATGCTGTGAACGTCATATTACTTTCGTCCTCATTATATATATATATATATATATATATATATATATATATATATATATATGTGTGTGTGTGTGTGTGTGTGTGTGTGTGTGTGTGTGTGTGTGTGTGTGTGTGTGTGTGCAAATATATGGATATAGATACGACAGTATGAAGAAAAATATACGGAATAAACAAACAAAAATCCTAATATGCATTATGCTGTTTTAATGTTAATATAATGTCAACGTCGGATGTTTCGATCTAGTAGACCATCTTCAGGACATATTCATAAAACATAATTAACATTAGACTATATTTAATTCAACATGAAAAGACGATGGACATAAGACTATGATTAATCAAAACAGACAACAGAAATTTTTCAAAATCAGCGTTCCGTTCATGTTGAATTAAATATAGTCTACACGGAACTGTCATTTGATTTGACGTGCTATACTTACGACACGTAGCTTAACGATGTAGAAATATATATCTATATAGCAGATATGATTGATCGAGGAACATCAACGGAGAGTGTGTGTTTCAAAATATTAATTTGGAATTTGCTAACCTGTCCCCTCTCGATAGCTCAGTGGTGAAGCACGTAAGATCAAATGACAGTTCCGTGTAGGAATTAGGTTCGATTCCTGCTGGACAACGGATATTTTTTACAAAATTTCTCGAACATTCAGGCAGGTAAGTAATCCTGTTTAATTTAAAAAAAAAAACAGAGCACTCTCTCTCTCTCTCTCTCTCTCTCTCTCTCTAATATATATATATATATATATATATATATATATATATATATATATAAGTGAACATACAGACTGTTTCATGCTGGACGCAATCATCAGGTCATGAATGGTGGATTTTCCTGGGCTATTTATATATGTGAAATGAAAATGAAAATAAATTAACCCAAACAAATAAATAAATAAAAAAACATGCCACTCCCGCAAAATAGCTGCCAGAATAGATTACACACAATGCAACACTGACCAACATATATAAATAGCCGAGGAAAAATCCAGCATTCGTGGCCTTAGGATTGCGTCCAGCATGAAACAGTCTGTCGCCTATAAGTGTTGACTTCAATGTTTATATGTATATTTATATTTACATACGCTCTATCTCTGATATTGAGCACTTTATCCCGTAAATATAGCGCACCTTAAAACTATATTTATATAAAGTATATATATATATATATATATATATATATATATAATATATATATATATATATATATATAATCGACTCTCCCGTCGAATTCGACGTATGAGGGTCAAGCAGATCAGTTCCTAGGAAACCGACAGCCCGACAAAAGCATATGAGATTTGTTTATAGTGGTGAAGGTTTCTGTGCATGACCATCCACACTTTTTGAAAGGCCGAATATAGAGACCTGGTGCACTAAGTGCCACAAGGTCCCCAAACGACCCTCCGCAGGTTTTGAATTCAGAGTTGTCCTTCTCCAGACGCTATCCAAGTCTATAGAACCCAGTCTGTCCTGCTATTTACCCATAGATGGAGGGAGAAGAGGAGAATTTTAGAAAATTATTGTTTTGAATTGTTGAAGACTTTATTTGAAAACTTGCTTGCAATATGTGAATATTCGGCCATTATTCTCATCGCTTTTTGCAGTGAATAGTAGATAAAATGCATTTAAAATTTGTCAAAAATATCGGAATATTGCAACGTTAGATCTAAAATATTTGAAGAGGGAAATTATTTCTGTATTGAATAAAACAGATTCGAAATTACGAAAGTTATTTATATTTAAGAAAGCTGACTATTAAGTAAGTAAATAATATTTTTTTAATAACCATTTCACCCTCCCCCAAAAGGCGGGAATGCAACTAGTACGCAGAATTTACAGAGATTGAAGACGAGAGAAAAGACTGGGTATAGAGAGGATTGAGGAAAGGGCAAATGATGAACGGGGTTCAAGACAATAGAAAATGGCGATTGACGTTGCATTTAAATTTTTTAAGAATGTAGTTATCAGGGAAGCAAGTGAACGAAAGGGATTTCCACAGGCGGAGAATGCGAGAAAAGTAGCTATTGTAGTAGAAGTGGTGGTTACATTTAACTATTTCAACATTAAATTGATGGGACCTAAATGCCAATCTAGTAACACGTTTAAATTTATGTAGTTGGGGCAGCAGGGAAAAAACTTGAAAGTGCAGCTGTCATAAAAATATTTGTAGAAAAGACAGAGAGAAGCCACATTTCGTTGGCGACAAAGTCACAGAATTCGAGATGCCAAATCAGGATTCGATTACCTTGCAGATCCTTCTTTGGATTTGTCAAGAACTTCGAGATGAATAGCAGAAGCAGCAGACTAGATATGGTAACAGTATTCGATGTACAGATGAATGGTAGATTTGTAAATGTGAAAGATGGAAACTGATGAGAAAAAACTTCTGGCACGGCACAGTGAGCCAACTTTCCTTGCAGAAGATGCAGCTATTGATTCAATGTAGTTGTTCCACTTCAAGTCATTTGAAATCGTGAAGCCAAGAAGACACAGTGAGACTCTCCCCAGCAGTCAAGCATCAGCTGCGCAGGCACTTTTCTCTATGATGGTTTAATGAGAGTATTTAATTTTGGAGGCATTAAAATTTACAAGGCATTAGCAGCATGGCCCGGCGTTGCCCGTGCTTGATTCAAAAATCGTACGATTCATACAGCAATCGCTACCACTTGACTTAAAATATTTTTGCCCTTCCTTGCTTTTAAAGGAGTGCCCTTAGCCGTGCTGATGTTGCTACATGCCTTACTTCTTGCCTATCTCACACTGCGATTTTTTCTAAGCTCTATACTAAACATTAAATCTGTAAAAAGAACTAAACAAAATGAACACAAAACGATCAGCTTTAAAAAAGGACTCGTAACTGGAAAAACCGAATGAAAAAAGAATGTTAACAACAAATACTTTTTTACACCCAATCCAGTTCTGCGGAATCAGAATCAACGTTGAGTTTAAGCAAGCGAATGAGCCAATTGGAGTAAAGTGCCATGCAGATTTAAATTTTTCCCACTTGTGACAAATGCAGCTATCGATTTTTTTTTTTTTTGCATGGTAGTTAACATTCGTGTCAGTCAGCTGTTGGCTCTCACGCTGGCCAATAGAATCTTCCTGTCTATTCTTGGCAGCCAGCTATTGGCTCTCACTCTGGCCAGTAGAAAATGGCCGTAAGCTACATGAAAAGTGCCGTAGAAGCATGAAAAAATCGATTATTTTCACTATCCATGGGAGTTGGGGAATGCAATGTCGGTCTTGGCCTTCGCGGTAACTTGGAGCATGTGCCTGTAAATTTTGGTGCAAATCCGTCGAAAATTGTGGCTGTGCATTCGTTACACACACACACATACATCCTGCCTTTTATAGAGTTTTCCTTCTTCAGTTTACCACTGATTAGAGAACCCTATCAAGAGCAGCGGCCAGGTTAACTTTGCCAACTCTGATGGATTTGCTTTTGAGTTACAGGTGGTTTGGTAAAACTGTGTGCAATTTTAAATACTCATAATTTTGACGTGCCTAGATTTTTCCTTTATTCGAAAACTTTATTTATTGGTTTTTCGACCTATTCTTCTTTATCGTTTTCTTGAAGCCTCAAAATGTTTTTCTTTCGCATTTATTTATTTTTTTTTTTTTTGACTCATGGTGTCACTAAAAGAGTCAGTGAACGACATTCATTGGATGAATGATCTAAAATGTGTCTGAGGTCCAAAAATAGTTTAGAAGACAATAAAATTATTTGGAGTAGAGCTAAATATTATTTATTTTAGCATATTTAAACAAAAACATCTTAAAAATCGGCACACAATTAGAATTATGTTTCCATACTACAAATGAACGTTAACATCGTCCCAGGAGACACATTTGTAGAGTTGAAATTTTTTTTTTTAAGCATTCCTTCTTTTTTTTTTTTTCCAATTTTTCCTCAGTACCAATTTATTTTGACATATCTACAAATTGAGCTATCAAGATTTTTTTTCAAGGAATATTACTATATATATATATATATATATATATATATATATATATATATATATATATATATATATATATATATATATATATATATATATAATTAAATGCATATATTAGCTCTATCACTGATATTGAACGCTTTCCAATAAAAACCATGCATATATATATATATATATATATATATATATATATATATATATATATATATATATCATTTTTGTTATTTTGAGGGACGCTTGAGTAGTTTGTTTTTTTTTTAAGCATTATGCCCCGAGCAAGTCGTGAAGCCACTAGGATGCAGGGGGTTGCAGAAGATTTGGAGCAAGAGCAGATAGGAGTGATAGAAGAAAGGATGAGGAGAGGGATAGTGTATAGATCAAGGTAACTGGAGATGTCGATTGACATTACATTTGAATAGTTGGAGATTATAGCTCTCAGGGAAACAGTAATTGGGAAGGGTGTTCCACAGGCGAGAGGTGCGAGGTATGAAGTTATTGGAGTAGAAGAGACGGCTACATTTAAAAGTTTCTACAGTGTAAGCGTGGGAGCGGGATGCCAGCCTCGTAGGGCGCTTGAATTCATGGAGTCTGGGAACCAGTGAAAGCAGCTCATCGGAGCAATTACCATGAAAGCATTTGTAGAAAAGACAGAGAGAGGTGACGGCGCGTCTGTGAGAAAGCGACTGCAGGCGAGACGCCAGATCAAGGCCAATTAAATGTTATTGTGTTTTCCGTTTATACGTTATTTTTATAGATATAATTTAAGTAAATACTCTGTTTTTTTTGGGTTTTTTTTCTTGCTTTGTTTTTTTTTTTTTGTTGTTTTTTTTTTAATTAAATACAGTGTAACCCGGATATAAGAGAGTTGTCGGGACCGGAGAAGAAGACTCTTATATCCGGGTTTCTCTTATATCCGGGTTTGGTCTATTTTATATACATTAACACAGGCTCTAATTTAGGACCAGAGAAAATCTCTCTTATATCCGGGTTTCTCTTATATCAGGGTCTCTTATATCCGGGTTACACTGTAGTATTAATTACATTTACCGGTCTGAATGTTGGAGAAATTCCGTAGGGCTCTGAGACAGGAATCGAACCTGTAACCCTGATGGGAACTCTCATTTAATACGACCTACTGTTAATCATTCAGTCACAGAGAAGCGTCTGGTTAACAAAATCTGAATTACTGTTTATAAACATAAACTTTCGACGATTTTCCTCAATCGATCATTACATATCTTAACTTAAACAATGACAACACATTATGAAATTGACTAAGTCCGACAATTATTTTAATACATTTTCTGTTTATGCAGTTTCGATTGCCATCGGAGAAAGCATATTTTCTACGAAATTTATCGAACATTCAGGCTGGTAAATATAATTAATACTGTTAAAAAAATTTACTTAAATAAATTATATCTATAAAAATAACGTATGAACAGAAAATATATTTAAAAAATGTCGGACTTAATTCATTTCATAATATATATATATATATATATATATATATATATATATATATATATATATATATATATATATATATATGTCATCCGTTTATCTCGAAAGATGATATTAGTGCCCTGTTTTGTCAAAATTCAGTACATTGCTGAAGTGTCTGGTGTAACCTCGACATTTCAGAGGAAGCAGACCTGACTGATGAGATAGATAGATAGATAGATAGATAGATAGATAGATAGATAGATAGATAGAACAGTCTGAGATAGATAGATAGATAGATAGATAGATAGATAGATAGATGAACAATCTGAGACAGATAGATAGATAGATAGATAGATAGATAGATAGATAGATGAACAATCTGAGATAGATAGATAGATAGATAGATAGATAGATAGATAGATAGATAGATAGATAGATAGATAGATGAACAGTCTGAGATAGATAGATAGATAGATAGGTAGATAGATGAACAATCTGAGATAGATAGATAGATAGATAGATAGATAGATAGATAGATAGATAGATAGATAGATAGAACAGTCTGAGATAGATAGATAGATAGATGAACAGTCTGAGATAGATAGATAGATAGATGAACAGTCTGAGATAGATAGATAGATAGATAGATAGATAGATAGATAGATAGATGAACAGTCTGAGATAGATAGGTAGATAGATGAACAATCTGAGATAGATAGATAGATAGATAGATAGATAGATGAACAGTCTGAGATAGATAGATGGATAGATAGATAGATAGATAGATAGATAGATAGATAGATAGATAGATATGAGAAAAGATATTGAGAGACAAGAAAGAGACAGCAGAAAGGAATTTATGACAGAGTTAAAGCTTAAATCCATCCCCACTCACAAAAAAAAAAAAAAAAAAAATGCCGAAGCGAACGAGAGAGTTAATATTATAAGCGTAGTAGGCAGAGGGTTGACTTCACTGTCATTCACAGCCCGCAGACCATGTGCTGAGGGTTGCCGGTTTGCATCGACTGCCTGCGCACTTTTAGTTTCAAACCACAGACGCCAGGTGCCGCTGACATCGGAACTGCGTTTCCGTTTTTAATCCCTCCTTTTTGGCCGCCATTACCCTATCTCTCAAGAACACCCACCCCAACCGAGTCACCGTTGTCTTGCTGGCCGCTACACAATCAGCAGTCAGTGAAATTGTAATTCCGAAGATCAAGTGACTTGACAAATATCCATTTCTCGTGCAATAATTTCCCTGCTGGTAAAAAGCCGGCTTAAAATTAAACAAACAAACACGGAAGTCCTATATGAAAATGAAGTTTGTATTGACGGTGTTATTGGAAGAAAAATATTTTAAGCATTCGTGATATTTGTTTCTTTGTTTATTTACCAAGTCCTTTCACATCTTGGTTAATCACGGCACTCCACAACTTCCTTATTTCTTTTGGCTCTAAGTAATATGGACGGAGCGAAAATATATTTATTGTTGTA